TTGATATGCCATCTATTCCTGGGTCCTTGTTTTTTGCCAATTCATTCAGAGCAGCTTGAACTTCCCATCACCATAGGCTGTTACTTATACATTGTTTCATAAACTTCTGTGTCTGCCAATTCTTTTGGTACAATGTATACTCTTTCCGTCTTCACTTAATGCTTTCTGGATCATTTAATACTCTGCCCAAAGCATCCTTAAGTATTTATTGCAGCTCGAGGTTTGAATTTGTTCTTCAGTTCCTTGAGCTTAAGAAATTAATTATGAGCGAGTTCAGCCCTTTTGATTTTCTGACTCCAGCTCCTTGCATGTTTCATTGTAATGCTTTACTTTGTCTTTCCACACTGTCTTTTGGAATCATCTGTTCAAAAATCTTTTGTTTTGCTTCTCGGTGCTCTAGTGCAATATTCAGATTTTTTTCTGACATCCATCTTGGTCTTTTCTTTCTCCTCTGTCTTTGCAAAGCCTTTTTGCATTCTTCCTGCATGATATTTTTTATATCTTCCCACAGCTCATCTGGTCTTCACTCATTAGTGTTCAAGACCTCTTACCTGTTTCTGAGATGGTTTAGAAATTCAGGTGGGATATACTGAGAGTAGCAAGGGTTATTAAAAAGACTCCTTGCTTTGTCCTTTCTAAGGCAAATCTAGTTCTTTTATTAATAAAAATACCTGCCAGCTCATGTATTATGAGATGGTCACCTTATGCCCCATAGATTTTACATGAATATACAGACATTATTATTATTAAAAGGAGCCCTGATGGCACAGTGGTGAAAGTGCTTCGGATAGGTACTAACTGAAGAATTTGCACTTGGAATTCACAAGCTGCTCTTCAGGTTAAAGATGACATTTTGAAAAGGAAAAAATGACATTTGCTCTAGACAGATTTGCAGCATTCGAAGCCTTGAGGAGCATTTCTCTGTCCTGTCAAGGTACTGTGAGTTGGAATTGAATAATAGCAGTGGGTTGCATTTGGTTTTGGTTATTATAAACTTTTTTTAAGATGATGATATCAAGGGGAGCTCTGGTGGCCTAGTGGCAAGAAGCTGTACTGCAATCCCAGAGGTATACGGTTCAAATCCACCAGATGCTCTGCTGGAGAAGGATGGGCAATCTCCTATACTAGTCAGATCTAATTTGACAGTACACACACACAAAATAATAAAGCAAAATTTAAAAAAAGATGATATCAGTTACTTTTAATATTTACTCTTTACTTTCTTTAAAACAAGGCATAATACTGGTACCTATCTTTTTATATTTTCTTCCTAAATATTTTTGCAAGACTTTTCATTCAGTTGTATTTGTAGGTCACAGACAAGAAATATTGGCAGTTTCCTGGTCTCCACGCCATGAGTATATCTTAGCAACTGCAAGGTAAAATGCAATTTATTTAAAGTTACAGAAATAAAAACGAGTGTTACCAAAGAAAAATATTTACATCATACATAATCCTAACCCTGTCTTATCCTTGATGAAGATACTCACTTTTGAAAGCAAAGAAAGTAGAGCAAGAAAATCTCCAGTAAGGTCTACTAACTATCTAAAACCAGCTCTGTGTCATTTTGGCATACACAAGTAGCACTTTCTTAATCTAAAAAGAAATGTTTTCTTTTTTTAAATTGTGTTATGGTAAAACAGAAATATTAACAAAAAATGTGCTGCTTTTACATGTATCATTCAGTAATATTAAATTGTTATGCCGTGTAACCGTCAGGCTGTTTTCGAAATATTTTCCTTTATCCCAAACAAACTTGGTACCTGTGGAATAGTCACCCTTATTCACACCTCTCTGCAGCCTCTGGTAACTGCTGACAAACTTTTGTCTCTTTGTGCTAGCTTTATTCTAGGTATTTTATATAAGTAGTGTTGTTATTGTGTACCATTTAGTTGGAACCAACCCATAGCTGACACTCCAGCAGGTTTTCAGATGCAGTTAATCACACGGGAGGAGATCCTTCCCCCAGAGAGCAGCTAGTGGCCTTGAATTGCAGGCCTTTGTGACTGCAAAGCAACTCCTTGCCACTAGGCCACCAGTGCTCTTTTATATAAGAAAGGCCATATAAAATGTAGCCCTATAAAATATGGTAGTGCAGTGATTAAAGCAAGCAAGTCCTTTATTTCTTACTTGAATTTATGGGTTTTTTGTGAAATTATAAAAATTTCCTTTCCTATTCTTGATATTACGCCCTTATCAGAAATAGTTTCCAGGTATTTGCTCTAATTTTGTAGATTAAAATGTAAAATTTAATTTTTTGTATAAAATTATAAACTTTCATTTTTCATGATTTTAGTATAGTTTCTCAGAATGCATTGACAGTAAGATCTTCATACAAGTGCCCTGTTTTCTTTTGAAAGTTTTACAGTCTTAATAACTCTTAAATTTAGATGGGTGGTTAATTTTTTTTTTAGTTCATTTTTGTGTATTATTTGAAATGTGGGCCAGTTTTTACTCTTTTGTGTGGAAGTTGTAGTAGCACCATTTATTAAAATTATTATTCTTTCCTAATTGAATGGAGTTGGCACTCTCTTTGAATATAAATCAACTATAAATGCATGAATTTTGTTCTGAACTCTCAGTTCTGTCATACTGCTGTGTAACTGTTCTGCTGGCACGACTGCTCTGTTTACTGTATTATGTGTGTTGTGGTGAGGTGTTGTCAACTATGACTCGTGGCAATGCTTGGAGCCCTCCCTCATCCAGCCCAGTCTCACGCCCTCCAACGTGTTTTAACCCTTTCTTACGGTCACTGTGTCAGTTCATCTTGTTGAAGCTCATCTTCTCTTTCCCTGACCTGCCTTTCCTCGTATGATGCCTTTTCCTCTCATTATAGCATGCCCAAAGTTTCACTCTCCTTGCCTCTAAGGAGCACCCTGGTCGCACTTCTCTTAAAATAGATGGTTGTTTCTTTTGCCAGAACATGAGATACTCATTATTTTTTACCACAGTATAGTTCAAAGGCATCAGTTCTGTATATCCTTACTCATGGTCCAGTTTCCAGATACATGTCAAGCAATTAAAAAGACCATGGCTACTTAGTCTTTAAACTAAGGAGATCTTTGACAACAAATTCCTCCAGAATACCAAGTCTTTTGGTTTCTTGACTGCTGCTGCTGTTGATGTTAATTGTGAATCCAAGTAAAATTAAAGCATTCACAACTTCAGTCATTGCTCCATCTATCATGATTTTGCCTTTTGATCCAGTTGTGAGGATTTGGGGGAGGGAGAGTTCTTTTTTTATTTTTTTATATACTATATCAGTTTCCTTACAAAGTTCATATACATTTTATTTCACACTATCCTTCATTCTCATTGTTTTTCATACAATCTTTCCAATTAATTATGTTTTATAAAATTAGTCACCATTGAACTATGGCCCACCATTACTCTGTCTTCCCAGATCTGAAT